TCACTCATCATGCCCGTGCTGGTATATGGCGCAGAAGCATGGACAATGACAACATCCGATGAGGCGGCTCTTGGAGTGTTCGGGAGAAAGATTTTGCGGAAGATTTATGGGCCTTTACGCGTTGGCGACGGCGAGTACGGCGGACGATGGAACGATGAGCTGTATGAGCTTTACAACGACATGGACATAATCCAGCGAATTTAAATACAGCGGCTCCGCTGGCTTGGCCATGTCGTTCGAATGGACACCGACGCTCCAGCTCTGAAAGTATTCAACTCGGAACCCGCCGGTGGTGGCAGAGGAAGAGGGAGGCCCCCACTGCGATGGAAAGATCAGGTGGAGGAGGACTTGGCTTCACTTGGCGTTTCCAATTGACGTCAGTTGGCACTGAAGAGAACGAGTGGAGTTCTTTGCTGAACTCGGCCAAAATCGCTTAGGCGGTTACAGCGCCAAATAAGAAGAAGAAGAAGAAGTAGTAAATATAAAATTCACACCCAAATTAATATCAAAATGTGTGTGATGAACTGATATGGAATCCACCACGTATGAGATCTGAATGCATACATGGATGAACAAAACTAAAGCAATCCATATTTTAGAGAATACTTGGAGATGTGTCATCAACAGGGAACGGATTTTATGGAAATTGCCTTTTTTTCTGCTAAAGAGATAAAGTATATTCGATAAAGAATGTCCACGATTTAGCTTTCCCTGATTCCATATATACATATTTGATGTTGCCTTTTTTTGCCTCTTTTAAGATATTTGCCTTTTTTAAGATATTTGCCTTTTTTGCCTTTTCTAACTTTAAAAAAGTGATTATAGCATTTACATTTTTTTTTAAGATTAAAAAATATACACATGCCCATGCGGCTTGTAGAAGCGCAGAGACCTCTTGCCAAATTGGTGTTGGAAAAATTCAAATTCGTTTTCTCAGCTAACGTAGGCTTAGAAACAATAAGGGGTGTGGATAAAATTGTTGGATGGCGAGGAAAGCGCCCTTATTCCTGATAATATGAACGTTTCAAACGTCCCATATTTAAATTGGGCTCCACTTGTATCAACTTACGTCGAGCGCACATTTAGTACACTCAAGGCTTTTCTTCGCGAAAATCTAATGAAAATGCTGCCAGAAAACTTCAAAATGCATCTTGTGGTTCAATGTTACTACAACTATACAGATTAAAGTTTTATGAGTTAGAAACTCGAAAGGATAAAATAGTCAAAGATTCGAAGTTCAAATTTTTCATATAATGAAACTAGTTCATAGTTTTTCTCTTTTTACTTGTAATATAAACATTTCTAAAATAAATGTATTTTTTGATTGTTCTTCGAATTTTCTGTCTTTTCTTATTGCCTTATTTTGCTTTTTTTTGCAATACCTAGTGCCCTTTTCTGCCTTTTTCGCTATTTTGTTTTGCCTTTTTTTTGCCTTTTTTTGCCTTTTTTGCAATACCTAGTGCCTTTTCCTGCCTTTTTCGCTATTTTATTTTGCCTTTTCCAGCCTATTTCATTATTTTATTTTGCCTTTTTTATAGGTTTTTAAGTCCTAAAAATCCGTTCCCTGGTCATCAACTATTTGGTATAAATTTAATTTGACAAAAACGAATCATTTCCTATCTACAAAAGCTACATACGTACATAATACATACTTACATGTTGATGCAGAATTATGCAAACGTAACCTGCTGTAAAATTTGCATATAGCATATATTTAGGTGACGCTGATGAAAGGCGCTTGAAAATAAAAGTAGAGATCAAAAAAGCATTGTTTGGCGTGAACCAGTTGGCGTGAGAAAGTTTACATAACTCCCGTTTTAGTGTGTCACTGTCATTGCTGAACGATTAATATGTATTGCGCTTTTGCTAATTATTTTACCTTTCGGCATTTTTATTTAATATAATATGTAGACTGGCGCTTACACATACAAAATTTTATTGTTTGGCCGAGCTTCTCCTCCGATAAAGGGAAGGGACCTACAGTTTCACGCCGACTCCGAGCGACGATTGTATTTTTATGAGAAGCTGTTTTTCATAGCAGAAATACACTCGGTGGTTTGTCTTTGCTTGCCGAGGTGCGACGGCTATTAGATAAAAAACTTGTTTTGTTTTATTATTTTTTTCATGTCCAAGAGTAGGACGAGAAATTCAAAGATCTCAGCTATGAGTGCACATACGAGCGCTACTTCCGTAATGACATCAAAAAAAGTGGTTGACGATTTCAATTTCCAGAAGGCAGAGGAAGGGAATTTCGGTCCCACTGCCTGATCAACTTCGAAGGGGCCCGAAAATGCAGTAGTTACTTGGTTCAAGCATAAAAAGTTTAAATTAGAAACCAAATCGATCATGTTGAGATATACGAAAGGTACGCTTCCAGTGTTCTAGACGTACGTTCATTCCGAGGGCCAAACATCGACTCGGAAGCCTATCCTGTTGCAACCAAGAAAAGCACCCACCTCTATGCAGCAAAAAATGTTCCCCGTAAAATGCAAGGAAAGCTTAACGTCGAATAGCTGCAATCACAACAATCACAACAGGCTAATGCATTCTCTTGAATTTCACACCTGCTCTCAAAGAGCACTCTTCAACAAACCGACATATACGAGCAGTAGAACCACATTTCTGGTTCATTGAGCCCGAAAAAAACAACTGGTGCGATGAGGAGTGTCGAAAAACTACCGAGTATAAGAGGCGCAACACAGCCTATGTGAGACCGCTAAAGGAAACAGAAGATGAAAGCGAGACGTATTTGCCGCAATAAGAAGAGGGAAGCCGAAATACCGGAGGTTGAAGGGCTTCAAATGCTGGCCGTAAGGAAAAACGCCCGAAAATTTTACTGGAGTTACTTAGGTGACTTGCGGAAGGTTTTAAGATCAAAGCGAACTTTTAAACATTGGCGACCTAGTGACTGATGTCCAGAATGTACTTAAATTATGGAGGCAACACTTTTCCACCCTACTGGCGAGCAATTTACAAGGTGCATGCATCAACTCTTATGCAGAATATGGTCAGATGAAAGTCGAACTACAGGAGAGTTGCTGCAATTGTCCCAACCAATAAAAAAAAGTAATTTAACACATCAGGTTATACTGCTCATTATTTTTAAAATGTATGTTCAATAGAAGGATTAAATTTTTGTTTGATAATGGTAACTTCATATCGTGCGGTCTTATGGGTCAAAATCATGGAGGTGGAGAATTTAGTAACTGTAGCAACAAAAAATTGAACTTTATTATGAAGTTGATTTTTCACTGTTATGAACTGGATTAGGTCGTCGTTTAGATTGTTACCGGGCAGAGCAAAAAATTACATGTTTTTGAATTTATCGGGAAAAGTGATGAATGATGGTCTAGAAAAAGTTCTTTGACATAACCTGGCTCTCTAAAAATCCATCTAGCTGTCGATATTTGCGTTTCATTGATCAAGACTTTAAGCCATAAGTGGATATCCCTCCAATTTCAATACTGACTAATATGCAAAAGAACAAAAACAAAGGAAATATAGACAACACTGGTGGAAATAAGGCGTTTCTTTTATATCTACCACTAGTATGTATATATAAAATTCTTTCAACCACAAAATACATTTGTTGACTTACATTTTTTCGCATCGAGCTTTTTTCGACATACCCCAAGTTACTTTATGAGATAGTGGTCCGAGAAATCGCTCTTTTTCATATTATTCAGTACTCACGCAAATTTGTGTTACTTTTCCTAAAAAACGAAAGTACATAACTTGATTGTAAAAAAATAATAAAATTTTGAGGGCGCGCTGAAGTCCATTTTAATTTAACTTAAAGCTACTCGTTCTTCAATCCGTGCGCACGTAAAATCCCTCAACAAATTTAAGTTTTATAAGATCGTATAATATGCTTTCGAACCCGCTGAATATAATAGGAAAGTTGTTTTTCCTATCGGGCTCATAACTTTTTAGATATTCCGAAAAAATTAAAAAGAAACGAGAAAAAATTCCGTAATTTCACTTTAAAAGTTAATTATTTCTTAGAAAAAATGTATTTGATTTTATCTCCGTCATAATATTTATACCCATATTTTTAGCAAACAAAATGTGTCATAGCAGAGAATTCTACGTTCATAACTTCTCGAGATATCGGCTAATTTTTGAACCTGAATATATGTAGATGTGTGGCTTATACCTGCATTGAGAAAACGGACCGCTATAAATTTTTGGCGTTTGCAAGATATTTTGAAGTTATATCTGATATTTTCAAGGTCACTACGGCTCGAGATATTGAGAAATATTAAAAACAAAAAACTAACGTAAAATATAAAATAAAATGTTTCTCGATTCCTGAAGAGGTATATGTTTAGGGGGATGAAATTTTGAACTCGTGTATTAAGGCCGCCTTCTTATTTGTTTGGCGGCCTAATTTAATTTTTTTGATCATTTTTGATTGGCAGAGTTAAATTATACGTATCAAATCACAAATAAATTTTATTTTTCTTTTGGTAGACAAATCAAACCACAAAATAAAGAAAAGTTTTACTTATCTTCAAAAGGTGTTCCGCGCCCCTTTTCTTCGGCAAAACAGAAAGAAGAATACTACTTTAGTGACTAATCTACCGACTTTTACACAAAGCTGAATTTCGAAAAAAAAAAATGAATAAGGACCTTTCTATATTAAGGTCAGGACATGAATTTTATCTTTTTACTATTGAAATATATGTAGATATGCTTTGAAGTCTTTGGTGCTTTTGTGAGACTATTTTATTTAAGGCGTGGGTAATTGAGGATTTTCTTCCCGATATTCGTCGCTAATTTTACAGAGAATATCTGGCATCACTTCTTTCAGGTGGTTTACTATACTTTTGTTACCTTCGCTATATGGTCTAGCTCGATACACTTCTGTACCTATTTACTCAAGTGATGCCAATTTCAATGGACTTATTTTGTATTTTTTTTAGTAAAATCCGCATAAAATACATATCATGTATTTAGTTAAATACATATTTATTTAAATTAATATATGAACATATGTATGTACGTGTAAATATTGCTTCAAACGAGAAATTCAACTGTGTTTTTGTACGCTCCTAAATTCATTACTTCATTAAACTCATTTTATTCGTTCATTTACTTTTTTATTCTTAAATAACTTCATGAAGTATGTAGTATGTATGTAGATATTTTCGAAAATCTCATTCGTTTTGGTTTTTGCAACAAATTTCCTGGTGTTTTAATTTTAATACATCTAAAACTTATAATTTCTTGCGTGCAACTTTACTACTTTATTTCCTCTTTTTTGCAATGTACTCATTCAAATATTTCTACAGATGTAAGTTGAAATTAATTGAAATATATAATAGTAAATTATGTTTAGTTAATACGTTCTAAATTTAGCAATAGTTTACTAATCTCACTGCCGCTAAGACATCTGAATTTAAGTTCGAATGAACTGTAAGTATATGAACTTCTTTATATATGCAAGTACTATGTATTTTTATGTATCTATGTATTTAATTTAATAATGACTTATGCTACGAATTATGTAATTGTATAGTTAAAAGTAATAACATAAAAGCATAAACATACAAAACAAATAAATTACAATTAAACATCAAATTAAATATTTAATTATCACAAATAAAATCGTAGTCGTAATCGCTTATAATTAACTAAAGACGATGTACATACGTATGTATATATGTATTTATAACTAATTTCGTTTTAAATTTAGTTATATCTATGCATGTATGTCTGTATGTATGCATGTATATTTACGTAAGTTTGAGTGTGCAACCAAAAAATAGTTGATCCTTAGTTCGTATGCACTTTCTATGGTCATTTAAATGTTTCTTCGTGCAACTATATAACTATGTATTTATGTATGTATGTTTATTTCAGTTTTCTTTAAATATTCGCGAATTTTTTATAATTTACATCTGACTTTCCTTGCGCCATTGAAACGTGCCCGATTTCACACCAATGCTTGATGATCCCTGATTGCTGTTGGATGAGAGCATATTGTTGGTGCGCCGTATTAGCTGTGCGGCTGAATCGAAACGGCTGCGTATTAGGCGCATTGCAGGATTTGTTGTAATTCCGCTGCGTTTGCTTTTGCTGAAAAAAATATGTTTATTAGTGAAGAATTGTTTAAATAATAGTATTGAAATTACTATGTACTATTACTATTTATGTAAATATACATATGCTTTGGTATAGGAATCAAAGACACCCGTTTTCTGTTATAAGTACGGTGTCCATGTTTTAGAAATAAAAATACAGGAGAAGTTTTCGTTACTTATATTGAATTATGAGATAAAAGGAAGGTTTCTTTCCTGTAATAGGATACTCCATCATCGCCTAGTTGGAAGGCTTCGATTTAAAATCTAAAGTGCAACAGAACCCCTTCGAATGTAACAATTTAAGGATGAATGGTTCTAAGCGTTATTCCTGGAAACAGCATTGATCCGGAAGGGAACTAATATATAGTCGTTCACTTCTGCCCTAAATGCCGTCAATCAAACTATTTTGAAACGAACTATGGCTCAGATCATCTCTCTTTTTTTAGCTCAGAGGTTGATTTTATCAACGCAAACTGTTCAATGGAGCGCGTACTAGCTTCCCCTCTAATATTTTCTACCGCAGTTTGAGGTACGAGGAGAAGATAAAGAGCATCGAGAACTTTCTCTGCCACAGCATTGCCTTGTTCAAAAATGAGACAACATAATCTGAAGCATCTCTTAAAATAAATAAAGCCAAAGGCCAACATCACGAGAAAAAGGACTGTCCTTTGAAATAAATAACCGATGGTCACCGTAGTTATAATTGAACATACCCACTAGAGATGTGCATGGGACTAAATACTCAACCCCGATCCGCCCATCGCAACGTTTTTATGAATTGCACCGTGGGTCCCGAAATCTTTCACTAAGAAAAATGTACACACATTTATTTCAAATTAATTAAAAATAATAATAATGAAAGATCTAGCATCTTACGATTATTTGGTTTTGCTTTGCTTTTCGTCTCAATAAAACATAACAAGTGCTTTTCCCGGCCATTTTAAATCAATACCGAGGGTCACGATATTCCGTGCCCATCTCTAATGGCGATACCGGTGGCGCGTTTGATGGAAAAGAAACGATACCAACATCCCTCCGTTCGACCAAAACGAGGTGCGGATAGCAATATAACGTCTTAAAAATAATAAGAGCCCCGCGACCGACGGTTTACCGGCTGAGATGTTCAAAGCCGGCCCAGTCTGGCTGCGCAAATTACTGTGGGATAAGCAATGTTACTTTTAATGTCAAGTCTGTAACCCGACTTGAACCAACTGATTGGACCTTATTAGAGTGGCTTCGGAATAGGAAAATTCATCATTGACCAATGCGTCAAATCCAAACCTACGACCTTCTCGTCGATTTTAAAGCCGTGTTTGATAGTACTCTGTATCGCCATATATAAATTTGGGATCCCTGCAAGACTACTACGGACATGTAGAATGACACGGAGCACAACTTATGACTCAATCGCAATGGGGAAAGACCTTTCCGTGTCGTTCGAGGCCAAACGAAGTTTTAAGCAGGACGATTAATTTTTGTACGACCCTTTCAATGTGGTGTTATATTACGCGCTCTCTATATCAACCACGATAAACAGCAAAAGCACGATACGGCTGTCATATACAGATGACATTGACGTCTTTAACCACCACAACACCAAGCAATAGAACGCTGAACGAAAACAAGATCAAGTAACTCCTGACATAAAACACATGTCGCCGTCGGCAGTTATAAATTTGAAGTATTGAAGGACTTTGTCTGCCTAGGTTTCAGTATCAGTGATGCCAGATTGTGGGTAATTTCCCTATTTGAGGGATATTTTGCATCAAAAATTATTAAAAGGGAAAAAAGGGACATTTCATATAAATAAGGGATTTTCTTTTGACGCAGTTATTGTTGCATAATTGATCAAAATTCAAGAATATTCGACATTCTTACGTAATTAATCGTTCTGAAGATGTGATGTGGAGTGAAATGGTATATAATTGTTAAAAAGTATAAGGACAATTTTGAAAATTTTCTTACGTTAACCAATTCAAGCGCTGAGTAAGAAACTGGTGTTTTATGTAAAAAGCGGAACAAATTATCTGATGAAATGTTAAATAGCACATGAATGTGCTTCAATTTTAAAGTCACCAAAAAATTCTTTTAGGCCCTTAGTGAGTGAGCAAAAAAATGAAAGTGAAAAAATGAATGAGTGAAAAAATGCAGAAAAAGGGGTTTTTTCTTAACAGCGGTCGGCCCTCGGCAGGCAATGGCAAACCTCCGAGTGTATTCCTGCCATGAAAAACAGCTTCTCATAAAAATACACTCGCCATTCGGAGTCGGCGTAAAACTGTAGGTCCCTCCCCTTTGTGTGACAACATCAAGGGGACCGCCACAAATTGGAGAAAAAGCACATATGTGTAAGCGCCAAACTATTATTATTATTTTATATGAATTTTACTGCTTTACTACTGAAACATGTATATGTTTAAATTCGTTGGGAATTATGTGGGATAAATTTTCAAGATGTGGGTAATTGAGGGATTTTTTCTCCATTTTCGTGGGATTTTTAACAGAGAATGTCTGGCATCACTGTTCAGTATTAACAGTCATGAATAGTTGCATTTCAGGTGCTCACGATATTCACGATTTACGGGTTGTTTTTGTAGGAAAGCGTTCCAGGTGCGAAAAAACCTGTAAGACACACCACTTTTGTGAGAGTAGCTTGTTCTCTCTCTCAGTCAGAGGTTGCAGGTTTTAGTCCGAAGTTTTTCTTCCTGGAAGTTCATGAAAAGTGTCAAACGATAGGCAGGGTTGCATTTGGAAACAAAAACAGAACCTTAAGCGCTACGGAGACAATCAAATAAATATGTCAAGCATTGCATATGTGTGAAATTGGCTCGTGTCTTGCCCGCAAACGTTCAAGTAAAATCGTCAATTCAAAAAAAAATTTTTTCTTTTCCGCGCACTTACTCACCACCACAATCAGAAGGAAAGTGCACTTGCCTTTTGTCGAGCAACACGAGGGACGGTTAATAAAGATAAAATTATATTTTAAAAAACTAAAACCTCGGTATTATAATTTCCATTCGTACTGTATGTAACTTGAGAATAGAAATCGCTGCATCTTTTAGGCGCATCAATATTACATAGTTACATCCCGAGCTAATAAAAGGGAGGTAAAAAATGAAAGATATTTCGACTCCACACTTATGGCTGTAAAAGGAAAATAAGGGCACCCACGAACACAATGAAATGACCAAGTACAGAAGAACCTGCCCGCACTCGGGTTAAAAAACTGGCGTAGCTTCGCAAGGGAATGAAGCAATCGGTGACGTTTCTTGATATCGGCGCAAACCGATAAACGATTGTAGTGCAAAATAAGAAGAAGAAGAGATGCAAATATTTTGTAAATCCCTCAAGGCCTTTTTTTCTGCAAGTAGCTTAAAATATTAAACACATCGGCATGGCAAGGTATGGTTGCAAACAGCGTGTGGAACACTTTTTGGTATTTATTGGTCATCGCCTCGGCCATAATATGCAAAAGTTAGTTTGTTTTGAGGTGCTCCAAGGTTTTAGGTTTTTCCGAGAGATAGTGCGCCTCAAAATGTTCCAGAGGTTAAAATCGCATGATCCCGTTGGTCAAATAACTTCGACTCGGTGAGAAACTGTGCGTGCAGAAATACTCTCTTGCAATATAGCTTATCTACGACACTGTGAATGGCAGCTCTGGCAGCAGTTGTTTTACGAGCTGCATGGAGTGGAATTCTTTACAATATCAAGGCAAGGCTTAGAACTTAATGAATCAATGCACATCTAAAATGGAACTCATTTCATAAACTTTAGTCGCAGTTGGGAATTTTACACCCCCTCAAATATGATTCTAACCTTATGGAGATGGATATGTCAAATTTAACTAAACAAAAAAAATGTTTTTTCTTACCTTGACGAACTCGGTTGGCTCTCCTTTAAATTACCCAATATTATGCGCATATGAGTATCGCGTGCGAAGTGGTTATCTGGCAGCACAGATTTTCCACCTGAACTGCAACCGTTTGTGTGATTGCCACTGGCATTGCCCGAGGCGCCGGGAATTTCATCGAATGCATTTAGTGAGGGTAGCTGACCGGGTGAACTTAACTCACTGCTGGGCGAATGTGGTGGTGTAGCATAGAGCGGGGACATGCATTCCATATCGTAGAGATCAGCCTCATTGGCACCAATGCCAGAAACTGCAGAGCATATAAGGAAAGCAGAAATGTAAAGTTTGTAGATACATACATTAGACTGCATCACTCCCCATACATAAAAAAAAATCGATACTGTTTTTCCACTGGAATTATAAATACGATATTTTAAAGACTTGCACTAAAATATTTCGGAAAAATATTACGATTTACGTGAGCTTGACCCATTTCAAAATTCCTCCGAAAATTGAGTTTTTTATAAATAAAAAAAGGGGTTTCTTAAGAACGAGATTTTTTATGCTGTTGTATTGGAATTTTTTCAAAAAGTGGTAAAAGAAAATCTTGAATACTCAGCCAAAACAGCCGATTTAGACTTATCACCCTTCTTATTTCTTTACAATTAAACTCATTGAAGGTATGAAAGAGAAAGGTGAGATGAACGAACGTCATTCCAAGTAGAATTAAGACGTGTTGATATTTGAAAATGAAAAAATGGGGACTTGAATGAGAATTGGGTCTTTTGCAAAGAAATAAAAAGGCTGAGAAAGTACATTTCCACTGATACCTCATAAGTCTAAATTGCTATAGTTTTGGCTCAGTTATTCAAGTTTTTCTTAAACCAATCTTTGGAAAAAATTTGAAAAACAGCATCAAAAATCTCACTCTTTATTATGATTTCGTTGAACACTTTTTATTTTTTATGCAGATTTTTTAAGCTTAAACTATTTTGTCATATGGGGGGATTTTTTTTCACAAAATCCTTCAAGAAACTATTTTTATTCATAAGAAACTAAATTTTTGGAGGCATTTTTAAATCGCTCCAGCTCACGTAAATCTTAGATAATATCTGTGATCATAAGCAATTACCGCCTAAGTCGACTTAAGAAAGAATTGAATTCCATGTGCGAGGATATTTAAAAAGTTATAGACGAAAATATTTTGGTTTGCCCATAAGGTGCACCCTTGCCATCCAAATCTTTAAAGCGTTTTTTCTCGAATTCAGGTTTTTCGACTTAAGCGATTATTGCTTATGACCACAGATATTTTTCCGAAATATTTTGTCGGAAGTCTTCAAATATAACAGATTTTGTAATCCCTGCGGAAAAAGCACAGCTTTAAACTCACCAAAGTGATGTTCATTGAGATCAGGCAGCAATTGTGAGTGCCGCTGCGAGTGATGCCCTTTCTGCTGTTGCTGCATTGCACCGGAAGCGGCGGCAGATGTTGAGGCTGCACCATGCTTCGAACTGATGATTGGCGCATTTTGCACGAATGGATTGTTCCGTGAATTGAGTTTGGTTTGACGTTGCAGTTGCTGTGTGAAAGTGAGAGGCGCTTGCTGCAAGGCGGAACGAACGTACATAAATGACCAATATGGAAATGAATATTGCTTTGTGCTTTTTATTTTACTTACATCATTGCTGCTGCCTGTTGATTGACTAGAGATGACGCTTTTTCGCTTGTGTAAACTGCTCGCGTCCGATTGCATTGTATTCTGATAGAAATTATTGGAGCTATGAGTTGAAGTTGATGCATTCAGTATATTTGATGGAACTTGCATGCAATTGTTATTGTTATTCATGCTGTTATTAACAGTAGCTGTGGTTGCCGCCGAGCAAATTGAGGGAGCCGAAGCGTGTGGCGGATAAGATGGTGCACCTATACCGAGACTTTGGTGCGCAGGTAGCGCCGGTGGCTGATCGGGTGAACGCAGCATATTCGGGTGGAACTTCGCTGGTTCGACTAGATTGTTGGAATCGCCTAATAGGGAGATGGGGAAAATAAGGTTTTGGTATAATAAATTAAATGCTACAACTAAAATACATTTGTCTGCATATATCTCACTCTTAGTAAAGTTGTCAAAAATCTTTAGTATGTTTGTGCGGTTGGATTTGGCAGCCAATTTTATTGGCGTACGTCCGCAATGGTCTGACTTATATGGATTAGCACCGTACTTCAGTAAAGCAATGACACACTTTTCGTGTCCCTCCTGTGCCGATATGCCCAAAGCGGTGGCGCCTTGTTTGCATGCATGATCCGCCACTGCACCAAAGTATAGCAGTATGCTCATGACATCGTGGTTGCCTTGCCAGGCGCAAGAGTGCAGTGGTGTGCGAGCTTCCAGGTCCATAGCATTCACATCGGCGTTACCTGAAATTTTGAAAATCAATTTTAATATTTATCAAAGCATGCATACCAATGTGATAAAAATAAACGATAAAATATCTCACCCATTGTTATAAGCATTTTAACCATCTCAGCGTGTCCCTGCCAAGCGGCCACATGTAGCGCAGTTCGTCCTTCACTATCTGGTATATTAACATCGACATTGGTCACTTCCAACAGGTACTTAACTATATCCAGCTTATTCTCCAATGCCAATATGTAGAGCGTAGTACGCGAGTCCGCATCCTTGGCGTTTACATCGCAACAGAATTTCAGCAAATACTGTAGAGTTTCTAGATGGCCCTCCAAGCATGCCAGTCGGAATGCTGTTTTGCCATCATGTGCTTTCTGATCGACGAATGTTGGATGTATTTCGAGGAGCACTTGTACGCACTTGGTTCGACCCTCTTGCGACGCCAGATGCAGTGCAGTCTTTCCCTCATTGTCGCATTCGTCAATCTTGGCACCCGACTCCAACAGCTGCAGACAGACTTCATGAAAGCCTTCGAATGCTGCATAGTGCAATGGTGTCCAGCCGGCATTGTCGCGATGTGTTTCGTCTAAACCGCGATCTAGTAGCTGTCTTACAGTCTCAACATTTCCTTGCGCTGCAGCTATGCTAAGTACGGTACGTCCCTCCGAGTCCATGCAATCGATACCGCAACCCCAAAAGAGGAGTAGCTTTACCACGTTGGCGTGCCCGGCAGTGCAAGCGGCCCAGAGCGGTGTGCGGCCCATGAAATCCGCCAGATCGGGATCAGCGCCATTCTCTAGTAAAAGCTCACAAACCTCGGCGTTGCCTTCGAAAGAACTCACTAGTAGTGGTGACATGCCATCGTTGTCCAGTTGATCAGTGTTGGCGCCATATTCCAATAATGTAGATATAACTTTACTATAGCCTGAGGAGCCGCATAGAGCAGCCACGCAGAGAGCACTGCGTCCATCTAAATCTAAGTGGTTAACATTGGCACCATTCTCCAGCAGTATTTCAACAATATCATAGTGACCCATATAGGAGGCGGCGATCAAGGAGGTACGACCCTGCCTGTCGACAGAGTTTACATCGGCACCCGACTCTATTAGTATTTTCAGTATGTCTTCGTGTCCGCTCCATGCGGCCGCGCGCAACGCAGTTCGTCCCTCCTTGTCAGCCAGATCAATTTTACACGCTGGATGTGAGATCAACAATTTTACGACCTCTGTATGGCCACCCCATGAAGCAGAACGTAAAGGCGTCCAACCATCGCGGTCAGCGTGATTGACATCGACACGCTTCATTCGGCCAGTGCCGTCGTTACAAGGTTGCGAGAAACTTAGTAATAGCTTAACGACGTCTAAATGACCATTACGTGCAGCAATATTCAGTGCAGTCTGTCCGTTATAGTCTTCAATTTCGAGATCGATGGGCCCTTTACAGGCGTTGAGGGCACGTTCGAGCAGCTGGTGATTGCCATCATTGGCTAAAATGTGTATGAGTGCTTTGCCTTTGTGCAACTCAATGCGGTTGGAATCGGAGAGTTGGTGAAGTGTGCTTGAGGCATTCTCGTCTTGACTTTCTTGATGTGGTTCGCTCTTTTCCGATGGGCTGGTGGGCCGTTGTGTTTCCACTATGCATGATTTCTCACTTGAGATCAACAAGTCAGCTAGTTCAAAGTCTATGTTTTGCGATTTTTCTGAGAGTTCGGGGGACATGAGTGATGATTCGCAAGAGTTCTGTAAAAAAGAAAAAAAAAACACATGAATACCCATCTAGATGTTGGCACGCAAGACTATCAAACTCTGAATACTGAATTTCACAACTACTGCGAGACCGGAAATTTATTCTAATTATTGGTAGGTATACTAGTGCTGTTATCTAGCTAGATTTATGTGGATACAATGCGATTTATAAAATTGAGTACTGTGATAGGTGTCATGTTCCAGTTTCTGGAAGGAGACAAAAGTCGTTTTCCAATGCGCATGGGTCTAAAACTTACAATGCATGGTTACTCGGATACTAACACACACACAGTAATCAGTGAGCCTTCCTAGGCCTAGGAGCAAAGGCTAATCAGTCTCTCAGAGGCTTATTAAGAGGGTAAAATCTGGTCTCTGGTTTTATTTTTTGACCTCTTTGGCCGAGCGTTAGAGCCGCGTACTGTCATCCGGTAGTACCGGATTTAATTTTTTGTCACAAGCAATAGCGATATATTATAAATTTTTGTTACTGATAGCGTTCAGCTCTCAGGAGGGTAATGGATAGGCTTTTGAGTGTCGTTTAAATGTGAAAATGCTTCTCCTAAAAAATATCTGCCGTTCGGAGGCTGCATTGAATAATAAACCAGTGGCATCATCGCGTGACATACTAAAATTATACTGCCGCACTCAGAGTAGTTTAATCATTTGAAAAAATTTCGTCTCAGAGTCAGATAATGATTCATTAAAAACATTTAACGAACTTTTAAATTTAAGCAAAGAAAACCCTTTGCTACACTTTTTAACCAATGATTATGATTTTTTTTTTGTTTTTGCAATAAATTTCAATTTCTCTCTCCCTGCTCCGAGAGTTGCAATGGCAGTGTAATATTTTTTCTCTCTGTTTAATTTAATTTTAAGATTTTATAATTGTAATGCAAAGATATTTTTCTTTTGTTTTTTTTAACTTTTAAACCCCTATTCTATCTATTTTTTATTCAACCTTCTTTTATTTTTAAATTTTGCTTTGAAAAGAAGTATATATATATATTTTTTTGAATTTCATTAAATTTTTAGAAACTTATTTTATTTAATTTTTCCTTTTTTTCTAATTAACTTCTTTTTAAATTTAATTTGTTTTAAGTTTTAGTTTTTGTTGTTTTAAAAAGAAATATTTAGTTTTAATTTCATCTAATTCTAGAAAAACTTATCGCCAAAAGACAAATAGAATAACCTATTCGTAAGCAGATTGCTAATTGGTTTTTGGAAAGACAGAAAATACCTACCTAAAAATTAAATAAAATCAAAAAATTTTGATTTTTAGAACACAAAAATTTAAAACATAAAAGAAAATTAAATAAGTTTATAAAAACTTAATGATTTTAAAAAATAGTTTTCTTTTCATTGCAATAAAATCTCTATATTACCAGAAAATAAAATAGATAAAAAAATGAAATTAAATAAAGAATAAAAACAAATGAGATTAGTTTAAAAAATTAAAGGAATTGAAATAAAAATTATTTACCTTTTTAAAACAATAAAATCTAAAAATAAGAAAAAAATTAAATAAAAGAGAGATAAAAGAGGTTTATAAAAATTAAACTAAATTAAAAAAAAATCTTTTTAAAACAATAAAATCTAAATTTTCAATTAAAATATTTTAGATTAAAAAAAGATAATATAAGTTTCTAAGAATAAAATGTAATTAAAAAATATATATTTACTTTTTGAAAGAATCAAATATAAAAATTAAAGAATATTCAATAAAGCAGAAAAAATATTAAATAAAAAAACCTGTGCCAGATGTTTCGACTTAGGAGCTCTCGAATGCACCCCTATTAAGCCAGCTCGCGTAAAATAATATAAATACTTACCTTTACATTTGATATCAAACTAAAAGAAAAAATTGAGTGATGCCACGAAAAAGGGCCGCAACTGGGGCCATACTTAAATTTTTAATTAACTGATGGGCCCTTATATTTTAACTCTGAGACGAAACATTATTTAACAAAGAGCGAGTTTAGACCTAATGGCAAGGTCTTTAATTTTTACAATAAATTCCATCAGCAGAGATTTTCTAGGGTTCTTTGATACCTAGCCCTGCGAAATTATAGAGCATTTCCACTTTTAACAAATACATACATAGCCACTCCGACACCTCAGACCATCTTGGGCCCGTGGTCTACTGGTTAATAATATAAGATAATGGTACCTAGTACTACATCATTCACATAGGCGTTGGCCTTAGCGCTGCAGTAAATATCGTTCAATGCATATCTTTTAAGGAGCAGCCTCATTTGCATTTAAGTTTTTAAATGAAACTTTCCAAGTTTACATTCATCTACCGACTAACACTTCGCCAAAACCTGATGTTCTCAAAGAGTGGACATAGTGCCGAGGTTTTAGTTTTTAGGGACGATACATCTAAGTTAGTGTTAATATATGAAATGCCAAATTTTCTTAAAGAAATAAGACCCACCTGTGCTTCTGCATTATTGATGCCCGTCTCGATTAACAACTTTAGTATTTTCGCATCTGTTGGTAAGCTTGGCTTGAAGAAGTCGCACAAAAACTGTGAAAATTCGTCAGTCAAATCGCTGCCCAAAAATTTCTCAATCATACTTCGCGTTTTAGGCAGAAAATTGGGATCGTGTTTAAAATCATTTTCACACTGTGAGCAGCAGTTCAAATGGTTCGTATAGAACGCATCATTCAAATTGAGCCGCGATTCGAGTAACATGAGTATTATATCTAAATTCACATTGCGACTGGTGAGATATTCGCCCGACTTGATGAGATGGTATACGAATTTTCGCACATTGTTGGCGCACAGTGTGTCGGCGACCAGCAAGTAGTACATTGATACCATAACGTGGCCCTCGTTAACATCACATATAAACTTTTTGGTGGCGAACTTCACGTCGACCAACCAGTCGGAAAAGGAGTTGTGGAAAATCTTCAGCCGTTGTTGGTCGGCATCATAAGAAACAACGTTCTTCATCAGATGTAAACGTTTCTCAAACTCGTCCGTATCGATGGCATAGTTGTGTGTACGTAGGCAATTAAAGAGGAAAAGCTTATCCACATAACCAGATGAAGCGAGTAGTACATTTAGAAGTGGCCGAATTTTCATGTACTGCTTTTTGTTAAACGACTTCTGACAAATGTACAAATATAAGCCATTTAGCGTGCATGGTATCAATTTGATCTCGCGAAAACTGAAGAAATTCTCCTTGATACCATTCAATACTTTCTCCAAATAGAGTATACAGCCATTGGATTTAATATATAATTGATGTAGGGACTCAATTATTTCCTTTGTGAGCATAATACTATCTTTAAAGTCTGAGTTCAACCTATTAATGATGTACTCTTGTACATCCTTCACAACATGTGATTTCCGCAAGTCATCCAATGTGATCTTCTTGAAGCCCGTAAACATGCGCGTAATTTGCTTAGTCTGTTTTTTGGTGGTGCAGACGAGGAACAGCCATTTGGGGAAGAGATGTATGTGATTGGATAACAGTTCTGCGACGTTGCGACTTTTGTGGTTGGTCGTCGTACCGCGTCCACCTTTCAAGGTTGTAATCAGATTACCTTCGTTTATGTAGTTCTCATCTATGGAGTCGATCAATAGCAGCAGCGCTGTTTTGGGTGGTGTAAGCTCAAGTAGTGGAAATAGTAGCGCCTTTTTGAAACATTCATCTGGATTCTTCTCGATGTTGTCAACGCTTAAACACTCCAGTATTTCTGGGTTTGAAATTAACATCTCATAGTATCCATCTGCGATTACTGTGCGACAACTTTTTGGCTTTGGTAATGGTGGAGGTAAAGTATTCATATTAACGGATAAACCACTAGGATGTAGATAATTATCCGCTATGTCCCTGTTGCTTTGCTGTTCGAATTCTATGAGGTTGCCGAAATTTTCTTTATCTTCCTCATCGATGTGTTCTTTTTCATTCATTGGCTTAGATTCTTTGAGAACTACTTGCAGGTTCTTATCTGCCTCTGGTTTGTCTTCGTCTTCGTCGTCGTCTTTATCGGATATCGGCTTTTCCTCTATGCGCTTGCTTCCGTCAACATTATCCTCATTTATAGCCGCCTCTATCTCGTTCTTTAGTTCTTCGCTTACCATGTCAGCAATGTCCTCACCTCCCCCGTGCTGTATAGCAGAAATGCCGTTTTTGGGAGTGATGGCGGAAATAACCTTGACCGGCGAAGCAACAGCGCTTGGGCGCCCGAGTTTTACTGGAATTTTAGACTTCTTTCCTGGACTACACTTCGAAGACGTCGAAGGTGAACTTTTCTCTTTTTCCGCTTCGTTGCGCTTTTCTTTCTCGGTATCGTTGTCTTTATCTTCGTTGCATTCTCTCACATTGCTTTTGTTGCCTGTTGCCGGCGGATGTGTGCCATAATTGTTATATCTTTTTTCTTCGCCCGAAGCAGCATTGTCATCTACTGGTGTCGGTTCAGACTTTTGGCGCATAATGCATGCATTAGTTGACTTCTTGTTGCTGGTTGAAGTGCGTCGCTCCTGAAAATGCTCCGGTTTATCAGCAGCGTCACTATCACTGGCTCCACGTCGCAGCTCGGCAATTAAAATATCCTCGACGTTCTCGTTCAATGTTATATTGTTCATAGCTTCGTCGAGTTTCGATTCCTGTTGCTGCGCCTCCTCTTGCAGAAATGAGAAACCTTCATCAATTACGCGTTGACATTCATCCTTGGTGATAATCGATGAATGACTTAGTATTTGTAGCACCACTTTGCGTATAAATAACGAAAGGCTATGACATTCGGGGTTCTGTGATTCGATAAGATAGCAGCCGAGTAATTTGCGATTTAGTATGCCTTTGGTGCCAGAGTTGCCATTCATTATGGCTTGACAGATGGAAGTCTTCCCTGAGCCGTTAGAGCCCAACACAAGACAACCGTTGTAAGAAGAACTAGATATAGCAGCGGCCTTTGCACGCGCAGCCATAAAACCTCCAACAGCTTCGCTCTTGCCTGCATTGCTAGCGCTCAGTAGACTTGGTATGTTCTTCTTGCCTGCGGTGCGTTGCTCCAAGCATAGTGCTATCTTCTTTAGCACCCATTCGCGGTGTATATACACTGGTTGACAATGCCGCGCGGTCAATGTTTGACTTTGAGAACCACTGCTAGACACAATACCAGTCACTTCTTTGTCAGGCGAAAGCTTCTTTTGCATTAGCACTTCCAAATTATCAGCAGTTTCCGTTAATACTGACTCACTTGTATCAGCGGTGGTACTAAGGCTGTGCTCTTCACTGGCATCTGCTCTAGCGCCACCATTGCTACGCGTCGTTTCAATGGGGAAATTTTGTTGCATCAAATTGGCAAAGTGTTCTTCGCGTGCCAAATTGGAGAAGCCGGCATTAGGACAATCGCGCCCGGAAACTTCTAGCTTTTTTTGTAATTGTGTCGTGTCCTTTAAGAAATTGAGAATGCGTCGGTCCTCCAATTGATGACTGGGCGTACTGGACTTGGGCAGAGGTGGCAAAGAGGCAGGCTGATTCGAGTAATGTGAACCGCCGACCAGCGCACTAGACGAACAGCCATCCAAAGCCATGTCGTCATCGAGATCGGTAACGGGTATGGCGTTGCCATTACGACTACACAAACGCGACAAATCTTTCGAATTGAGTTGTTTGTATTCCATTAGGTTGGACAACTTGGTATCGTGAGCATCATGATTGGTACCGCCGGAATGTGGGCGTGCGCCGGAACTGTTAAAGCGCATGCGTTCACCGCTTTTAAAACGATCCGATTTGCGTAGCGGTGTAGCGTAGAGCATCTCTTTGGACATATTATTGGTTGCATAGTGTTTGTTGTTAGTTTGCTGCTGCAGGGATAAGGGCGAAGACTGTTGGCGTTGCTTGGCGTTGCTTGTCAAACTGGTGGCGTTTGTACTGGGATTGGAATTGGCAGCATTTTGGTTGCTGATGTTATTTAATAGAAGTTGTTGTGACAGTGGATTATTAGCCACGGCTGCGGCGACTGTGTCGTTGGTAGTCGATTGGGAAGATTTCTGTTGTTGTATTTTGCGAACAGCTTCATTGTACATTGCCTGGCAGGGCAGATTTTCGTAAATGTCATTTCGTAGGTTGTCAATATCGGAGTGCTTGGACATTTTCAGCGGGACGATTAAAAGAAAATCCGTTAGAAACTCTGACGATTAAGTGCGAATCCCCAAAACGATTGTGTTCATCTTCCACAATTTGCATACACTACGAATCTGAAAATAAAGTAAAACAAAAAGAAATGTTTCACTAAATTTTGTTACTGTAAATAAGGCAGATACTACGGCAACATAGACATATATAAATTGATAAATATCTTCCGTTCGCGTTTTATTGTTACTACTCTTGCTTGAGTTATGCAGAATTGTTCTGCTTTCGCTAACTCAAGTCTACTTTCAACTGCATGAAAATACATAAATACATATATAAAAATAACTTGAAACTTTAAATACTTCGTAATATATAGTATAGTATTTTGGAGCTTACGCTTTTACAAAGTTTTTGACCGAGGTTCTCCAATTTTTGGTGCGCGCCCTAATGTTATTAACACATATGGAGAGACTTAAGATTTTAGGCCGCCTCCGATTGGCAAGTGGCTTTTATAAGAAGCTTTTTCAAGGCAGAAATACACTCGGCGGATTTTTATGTTAATCTGAAACTGAGCCAGATCCTGGGACCTGCTCAATGGTAGTGCGTACTTCCACCACTACATCACATGTATGTATATTAGACAGGTAAAAAAATTTATTACAGAAATGTAAAAGCGGAATTTTAATGCTCTCAGCCCCTAGTAATTTTCTATATTGATTGCTTTATTAAAAGAAAAAAATACAGGGCGCTCAAACCGCTCAAAGTTTTCTGCGAAAGTCATTATACTTCGATCGGAAAACTCTGTTTATCTTCAGGAGACTTCTTATAATAAATTCCTTATTATTACGCCTTTTAATAATACACATTTTTTTTATCGGTTCTCCATTGCATTTTTTCGGGGTTTTTGGGGGTTCCATAAAAAGCAGTTAATATTAGGAAATTCTTAGATAAACAATTGGGTATTATTCCTTGAAGTTTCCTAAAGCGAAACACAGTTTGCCGTTAAGAAAATATTGATTTTCAAAGATTCTATACTGTTAAAAATTTTGCTAGGATCGATGTCTAAATTGTTAATACTTCAAAAAAATTGTGGGATGACAGTCCTTTCCCAGAAATAAATGTGGGTCATTTGGTAAGGTAGGGCAGACTATCGTGAGCTAGAATTTTTTTCTGAAAACTTCCCAATCTAGAGTGTTTGCCCTTTGAGCCGGATTTAGAAATTTTCCAAAAACATATAAACTTAAATTCGTAAATTTTCCTAGGCATAAAGTCACGGAAACTGCTCTCCTCTTGAAATGTTTGAAAATTTAAAATACAAATTTTTTAATACGTTTAAATTTTTTCCAAAGAGCAAATGTATGTATTTATGTATGCAGTTATGCATTTGTACCCAGTAGGTATGTATATGCATGACTCTTTGAACACGCCGAGTTGGCTTTTTCGCGCACAACGCTTGATAAATTACCATAATGTGCAAGTCAGACGTGAAATCTTTTGATTATGTGGCTGGCAAGCAGCATAGGAAAAGGAAATCCAACAGAGTTGACGTATATCCGACTAAAAGGAAAAAAGAACTGAAAAAAATGCACATTGTACGTACCAGACAAAATTATTTACGTAGTATGTGCAGTGGTGATCAACGTAATGAGAACACTTTACATTTTTTACAATTTTCAAAAATGTTCAGAATCTTTAGAAACTTTTTGGTGATGCAGTTTTACAGCCCAGAAATATTTAGTAGAATAATGTGCAAAAAGTTGTAAAATTTTCTAAAGATTCTGAATAAAAAGTTGAAAATTTTTATGGATTGTTTTTTTTTTTTACTTTGCTGAACTTTCGCGAGTCTAACATATGTGGTATATTATAGAATAAGTTTTATTAAAAAAAAAATAACAAAAAATTGTATCAGGTAGATGAGATGTAAATGCGAAAATGTAAGTGTTCTTATTTCGTGGACCACCACTTTATGTATGATAGAACGAGTAAATTTTTTTGACTATGCGCGTATAGCATGGGAGGATTATACGTGTAACTCTAGGCAAATTTGCCGAAGAAACTATGGGTCTAAAACCAATTTGGAGCTTGCCAAATTGCGAAAAAGGTTTCGAAGAAAATGCGAAAGCTTTCACTGTTGCGCCCACTGGCGCAAGCTTTAAGAAAAAATAAATGCAGACATGGATTTCTCATACCTAAAAAATTTTAGCACGCCTTTACGACTTTACAGAAAAAGCAAAGAAACTTATTTTCGCAATTTGGCAAACTACAAATTGATTTAATACCCCTTGTTTCTTTGGCAAAATTGCTATACGGGCATAGTCGAAAAAAATCTCCCATATAAATTGACCCGCCCTAATGTATGTATATACATACATATGTATGCATTCAGCTGCCCAAGTAGCGGCTGTCTGAAAGTGTAGCAGGATACCGCTTTGTTGACCACTTTGGCTCTTGCCGCACAAGCGGAAAAGTGGAACGAATACATAGTGTGGCATGCACACTTCCGGTATGTGTGTGCCGAGTGTCATTGCGGCCGAAACAGTAGTGTCATGTGCATTAGAAATATATGTAGCAAGTAAGAAGGCAGAAAATGTGTCGGAATGCTGTAAAGCTATGATAATGTAATTATTGTTAGTGTAAGTGTTTTTACAGCTATTAGCCACTAGGCAACCAAGGCGTATTACAAAACCAATAGCCATTATACAAGCGGAGCAATAAAGGCATCAATTCATATAAAAATGGAGAAACGGTAACTTCATTGGTATTGCAACCACTATGCACTCAGTGTGAGGAGTGGCGCTGCCATGGAAGTTTTTCGTTTAGCATACCATCCTTGCACACTTTTTGATTGCCTTTACCTTAGCGATTTTTGTTGTTATTTCTTGTAAGACATATTTACATATGTATGTATGTACATTAGACTGCATCACTCCCCATACAAAAAAAAATCGGTGGTGTTTTTCCACTGGAATTGTAAAATCTATTACATTTTAAGACTCTCACCAAAATATTTCTCATTTGATAAACAAAATTTTATTATTTATTGTTTATTAAAAGTTGTAAAAAATATTACAATTAAACCTTACAATCTAAATATCTGCATTAGCAACTAAGGCCATCAGCATCTTAGACGAATTAAAGTTTAAGTTCAAAAAATTTGCAAAAAAATATTTAAACTAATTTTTCAACAAAATCATAATCATAAGATTTTTGATGCTGTTCTTTATATTTTTTCAAATACCGGTTTAAAAAAAAACTTGAATAACTCAGCCAGAACTTTACCCATTTTGACTTACGAAGTATCATTGGAAAGGTATTTTCTCACCCTTCTTATTTCTTTGCAAGTAAGCTCTTTCAAAGCATGAAAGAAACGTAAGAAAAACGAGCGTTGGTATTTGATAAAGAAAAAATTGGGATGTAAATAAGTTTTTGTAAAGAAATAAGAAAGAGTGAAAAAATACCTTTCCACCGATATCTCACAAGTCTGTTTGAAAAAAGTTCAAAAACTGCACCAAAAATATCATTAAGATTCCGCTGGAAAAAATTTTTGAATATTTTTATGTAGATTTTTTAAGCTTAAACGGTTTTGTAATCTGAGTGGATTTTTTTCAAAAAATCCTTTAAGAGCCTATTTGTATTCATTAAAAACTGCATTTTCGGAGGTATTTTCAACTCGGTCCAGCTCACGTAAATCTTAATATTTTTTTGAAATAATTAAGTGGAAATCTTAAAAGCTAATACATTTTGTAGTCCCGGCGTAAAAACCGTAACCTTTTTGGTGATGCAGTCTAATGTACATACATATGTAGTTGTGCTACAGTTTGTGAAACGCCAAGCTTCAGAGCTGTTGCAAGCAAAAAAGTAGCCATAACTTGCGAAAATAAGCATTTCAGATAGTTGAAAGCGTGCCAGGTAATTTGTTTGTGTGCGACGGACGGTTGTGGGCGCTTCTCTGGAGAGTTAGTTGAAATTGAAATACGTCCAAACAATAGTTGCATTTAATGAGACCGAAAGAAGTGCAGAACAGGTCAAGTTAGAGCACAATCGAGCAGCTGTCAAAAAAAAAAATAGAGCAATTTAGAGCAACTCAGATCAGGAATTTGATGAAACACTTTTCAAGCAGAAATTCTCAAAACAGCTGCTTGCTCTAAGTTACTCTATTAAAAAAGTTGGTCAGAAAATAGTGCTCTAAGTTGCTCTAGTTCCACTCAGCGCAGGCTTATGAAACAAAAAGTAGAGTAAAAGCATAAACAGACAGCAACGTTGATCCGGATCAACTTGGGAATTAACTGCAAGAGACACGTATTAGATACACAAAATTGATTATGCGCATTGAAATTGAAAGCGTTTCAATTCCAACGACAAATTATTTGGTATTATGGGCTTAGAGTCACTTAGTGCTTACTTAAGGTGCTCCCACCAAAAAAAAAAATCACCCTCACTGCCAATTAATTATTCAGTAAAGACATTTAATGAACATTAAAGTTAAGTGAAGAAAAACCTTGACTTATTATTCTTTTCATTTCAATATAATATAATATGCATTTGGATTTGAAATAAAGCAAATCCATTATATTTACATAGAATGTACTATTCAATTTGATGACTATGCTGATGGTGAGAAAGGTCTGTTGCCTCCTCCAAAGCAAGTATAGATAGGGATAGAACGATACGAGTACCGAATACAGAATTTCGATACTTTTCTTGAATACTGAGTAATATCAAGAACTCGATACTTTTTGACAAGTGCTGAGTAAATATTGCGATTAGTCGATGGGCGGTTTTGCAAAAACATCGACGATATCTATTTCGGATTCGAATATTTGGTACTATAAATTTGTATTAGTCCATGTCGCCTTTCGAATCGCATTGAGTTTCGAATCGAAGATTAAATCCCCTGAAACCGATAAAAAAAGTTTTAAGGTTTAATAACTTCGCACACAAGGATGCTACGCAGATTTTAGTTTAGCTAGTTTGATAAAGATCGCATGTTTAAAAGCAAAATTAACTAAGGAATTTTTTTCATTTTCACCATTTTTCTTTGAAATTATTTGATTTTTAAAAAGTAGACTAAAATTTAGTTTCTTTGAGTTAAAGCAAGTCATTTAGTTCCTCTGTAACTGC